AATCCCGAATATTTCTCTCTTTGGAACACTAGCGATGGTTTCTCTTTTTTTTTTTTTTATATATATATTTTCTTGGATTCGGTGAACCCCGGTTCGCCATCGGCACGGGTGCTTCCACTCATTGGCGCGTCCCGTGCTGATACGTGTTTTTTTTTTTTTTTCGATGCGTTGGATACGGTGAACTCCACTTGCCAACAGCGCGGGTGCTTCCACTCATTGGCGCGTCCCTCGCTGAAACTGACAACACATATGCAGCACGGGTGCTTCCACTCATTGGCGCGACCCGCACTGATGATACTTGTACGCAGCGCGGGTGCTTCCACTCATTGGCGCGTCCCTTGCTGAAACTGACAACACATATGAGCACGGGTGCTTCCACTCATTGGCGCGTCCCGTACTGATACGTGTATGACTTCGTTTTCGATGCGTGGAGATCGGTTAATTCTACTCGCCCAACAGCACGGGTGCGCCCACTCATTGGCGCGTCCCGTACTGATACGTGTACGGCGTTTTTGTTCTTTCTTTTTGAGATCGGTTAACTCTACTCGCCAACAGCACTCATTGGCGCGTCCCTTGCTGAAACTGACAACACATATGCAGCACGGGTGCTTCCACTCATTGGCGCGTCCCGTACTGATACGTGTACGACTTCGTTTTCGATGCGTTGAATTCGGTTAACTCTACTCGCCAACAGCACGGGTGCGTCCACTCATTGGCGCGTCCCGTGCTAATACGTGTACGGCGTTTTGTTCTTTCTTTTTGAGATCGGTTAACTCTACTCGCCAACAGCACGAGTGCTTCCACTCGTTGGCGCGTCCCGTGCTGAGGCTGACAACACATATACAGCACGGGTGCTTCCACTCATTGGCGCGTCCCGTACTGATGCATGATTTGTGGTATTTCCTACCGCTGCGTTGAATTCGGTTAACTCTACTCGCCAACAGCGCGGGTGCTTCCACTCATTGGTGCGTCCCGTGCTGATACGTGTACGGCGTTTTGTTCTTTCTTTTTGAGATCGGTTAACTCTACTCGCCAACAGCACGAGTGCTTCCACTCATTGGCGCGTCCCGTGCTGAGGCTGACAACACATATGCAGCACGGGTGCTTCCACTCATTGGCGCGTCCCGTACTGATGCATGATTTGTGGTATTTCCTACCGCTGCGTTGAAATTCGGTTAACTCTACTCGCCAACAGCGCGGGTGCTTCCACTCATTGGCGCGTCCCGTGCTGATACATGTACGGCGTTTTGTTCTTTCTTTTTGAGATCGGTTAACTCTACTCGCCAACAGCACGAGTGCTTCCACTCATTGGCGCGTCCCGTGCTGAGGCTGACATCACATATGCAGCACGGGTGCTTCCACTCATTGGCGCGTCCCGTACTGATGCATGATTTGTGGTATTTTTCTACCGCTGCGTTGAATTCGGTTAACTCTACTCGCCAACAGCGCGGGTGCTTCCACTCATTGGCGCGTCCCGTGCTGATACATGTACGGCGTTTTGTTCTTTCTTTTTGAGATCGGTTAACTCTACTCACCAACCGCACGAGTGCTTCCACTCATTGGCGCGTCCCGTGCTGAGGCTGACATCACATATGCAGCACGGGTGCTTCCACTCATTGGCGCGTCCCGTACTGATGCATGATTTGTGGTATTTTTCTACCGCTGCGTTGAATTCGGTTAACTCTACTCGCCAACAGCGCGGGTGCTTCCACTCATTGGCGCATCCCGTGCTGATAC